CCGCTCTGGAGGGAAAGGATCTGGAAAGACGAAGTCTTCCAAGGCACCTGCCCAGCCAGGACCAAAGCCTATGTTTGGTCCGCAGCAGTTCACCCCTGTTCCAGGGGTTTCGACGCAAGATTCGGCACGCATCGACAAGTTGGAGCAAAGATTTGACCGAATTGAAGCCAGGCAATCTCGATTCGAGGAAAAGGTTGATGGCCGCTTCGAGCATATCTCAGATTCGTTACGCCAGATCTTGCAAACAGTTGGGCCCTCTCGAGCTCGTGAAGTGACAGGTGACACACCACCTCCTAAGGTGTCTAAGCAAGCCTGATGTTTTGGGGCGCAAGCCTCCATGTGTCAGTCTCCTTTTCTTGTTTTGCAGTGTGATTTGTTTGTGTGGTTTCGTCCCTTCTACAAGGACGCTCGTTGGAGGCTTGTGCCGGGTTTCTCCGCATTGAATCCAATCCTTTTTCTGGGGTCGTGCTCCCTTTGCGAGCACAGGATCGATGTTTGCCATGGTGAGACGACATGCAATCCCAGTTGGCACATCGTCCGGTTAACTTGCAGGTCTCCCTGTCTCATGCCTCACTGTCCCTTTTCAGATCGGTGGTTTTGGTACTTTCACTCTCATTCCCGTTGCAAGTGTTCTCATGATTGGGGCTGTGAGATCATAGACCGACATTTTGATTCTCGTGCTTTCAGCAGACGGTCCGCAAGTGACTGTCATTTTGACCTCTCAGTCTGGGGAAAAGTCACTGCTGCTCCACTTGGTTTCCTTCGTTATGTGTTTGGTTTGGTAGTACAGACATCCAGTTTCGATTTTTGTCTTCGTCATCTTCGAACAGTCAGCCTCAATATTTGTCCTTTTCGCCAGCCTCCTTTTACGGTTTTTACTATTGCATTTTATTTTCGCTGGCTGATTTTGACTCTACGCTGGGCTTCCCAGGTGAAAGCCCTATCCCGAGTACTTGGACCTTGACTACTGCTAACATAGGAAGTCTCAAAACAAATTGTTCTTGGAAACATGTTTCCGCTACAGTTCAGTGCTTGCAAGAGACTCGCATTGGGTGTAACAACCCCACTCCAAGAAAAGTGTTCGTGAAATTGGACAAGAGCTTTTTACTTGTGCTCCCCTGAAAGGGTTTATTCGATCGGACGGTCAGCACTCTGTCATGCATGGAGGCACGGCAATTCTTGCCCCTCCCGAGCTTTCGGTTGATTTTGACCCTAACTCTGATCAAACTGGTCTTTATCAGAAGTTACATTCCTCGCATCGCGCGAATGCATGCTGGGTTCAGGTCACCCCTACCGTTCGGGCTCTCGTGTTTTCCATTTACGCTAAAACTTCTGCATCTTCGAACCCACAAATCTTCGGGTACAATGATGCAATTTTTGCTGACATCTTTACAATTTGTGCACTGTTCGGGTCCATCCCACTCATTTTAGCAGGTGACTTCCAATCACCACCAATGCACTACCCAAACGCTGTCAATTACCACAATTCCCTGACTTATTCTAAAGATAGTACTTTCTCAGGTCATGGTGACTTTTGTTCATCGATCGACGGGATTCTCGTGAACCAGGTTGCCTCGTGTGCTTTGCAAACCATTGATGTTGTTCAGACGTCCGACGCCCAACACAGACCTGTCCGGGCTTCCTTTTCCTGGCCAACCATTTGGCAACATGGGTATGTCCATCGCAAATTTGCACCTCTTATCACGGACTCCCTGAGTAAGCCAGGTCTGGATGCTTCTCACACGTCAAATGTCACCGCTGAAGCTTTATGGTCCGACCATTTCGCTGCGCAGTTTGACCAGTCTTCTAATTCGGATGCCCAATGGGAAGTTCTCAATCAATTTTGTTGTGACACCCTCATCTCCTCAGGTGCCAAATGGGGAATTGGACCCCGCAAACTTAAGCAGTTCTGTCCCGGTCAAGCCAGAACGGGTTCTGCCCTTTCCCTGAAAGCTTCTTGGATGCAGAACGCTTTATCACGTCTTGATGAGTTATTCGTCCGTCTGCAAAGACCAGCTTCAAGCCTCGCAGATGTGCACATATTACAGCGGACCTCTCAGAGACTCTATAGAAACCTGTGTACTTTGAAATGCCCTTGCATTTGGGATGCCAAGTCATTTCCATCCTTAGTTGATGTGTTTCATTGTCGCACATGGGTTCTGCATCAACTGCAGAATTGGGATTTTGCCAAGAAACAACAAAGAATTAATAGTTGGCGCTCACGAGTCAAAGCCTCAGCCCATTCTTCCAAAAAATATATCTACCATCATCTTAAGTCGAAATCACTTGATGAGCCGGTTAATCTTGTCAAAGATTCCAAAGGCAATATTTTGTATCAACCCACTGAAGCCCTTAGTGAAGTCAACCTTCAATGGGACTCCATTTTTGCTTCCAACGTTTTGCATGAAGACCCAATGCGGGTGTTGCACTTTGTATGGCCGTATATTCAGCATACTGCAAATCCAGTTACACTTCCTGCTTTGACAGCAGCGGACCTTGCCATGACTATCGACTCTCGGAACCCTCTCGCCGCGCCCGGTCTTGATGGCTGGCGTACGACCGAATTGCAACTCCTACCTAAGAAGTGCCTTGAACAGATTGCATCTTTCTTTTCTCAACTCGAAAACGAGTGTGGAGGGTCTATCCCTGAGGTGTTGTTGAGAGCCAAACAGGCCTTGCTTAATAAATCAGGCCCTGCTTCGCCTTTGAACAAACGTTTAATCACAGTCCTGTCTCCGCTGCTTCTTGCCTACTCAGGGACCCGATTCCGCCAACTCCAGTGCTGGCAGCAGAATACGCTCCATCCTTCATTATATGGCGGGATCTAGGGACGTTCCATGGCATCGGTCAGCGATGGTCTTCGTTTGGACATTGATTTGGCCAAGGTCGACGGTCAGCACCTCATCGGCATAAAGTTGGATCAATCCAAGTGTTTTGATCGCATCATCCCTCCAATAACTGCTGCTTTGATGCTGGCCCTTGGGCTCCCACGCGGTTTGGTCAATATGTTCACCATGATGTACCAGGGCTTGAAGAAACATCTTTCCTATAGGAACTGGACTGCCCATACCCCGGTTACGAATGCTAACGGGGTTGCACAGGGGTGCTCCTTGTCTCTTTTGGCCATCAACGTGCACATGCACGTGTGGGCTTGCTTCATTGACCGATTTCAACACATCACCTGTCGTGTGTTTATCGACGACGCATACATGTGGGTTTCTATTGTTCACTCGCATTTGCTGCAGCAAGCCTTCCGCACCACTGAGTTGTGGGGCCTCATGGTCGGTCAACATCTCAATCATGGCAAAAGTGTTTTGTGGGGGACTTCGCCCGCTGCTAGGTCCCTCGCTAAATCGACCTTTCCTCAGTTGCCGTTGTCACTTGAATTTGACCTGCTTGGGGCCAAAATTTACACCGCTGAAAGAAATGCGTTTTTGTTCGATCCTGCCAAATGCAGTAAAGTCATCACAGACATTAAGAACATTGCCAATTTGCCTGTGTCACGAAAAGTCAAGACTGATTTGCTCGGAGCAAAAGTGCTCCCACAGATTTCCTTTGCCACTCAAGTCTCCAAGATCCCCAAGCGTTTGCTTGAACGGATTCAGAATGAACTTGTTTCTGTGTATTGGGGCAACCGGCCTCATTGGCGATCTAAGATGTTGGTTTTTGCCTTCTTGTCTATCCCGCACCGCATTGAACCTGTGTGCGTCCGGGCATATAATTGCATTTTGAATTTTTGGCGATGTATTCATTCTCATCCGGAGCGGATTCCGCATTGCCGCCGTATTCTTGCATCTCACTCGTACTCCAAACATAGCTTAGTTTTTCAAGTTCAGCAAGCACTTTCACCTTTCACCTGTCCTTTTCACCTGATCTTGACCTTCTCTTTTATGACATTGCTTTGCCCATCCTTGAGATTGGCGTTCGGGAGCTCAAACAGCTCCTCCAAGTTCTTGCCATACAGTACTGTTACGAGCGAGCTGCCGACCAGAAGCGCAAAGACATCGTCAAACCCCAAGGTTTTGTTGATCATTATTTGTCAACCGCCTTCAGACGAAATGCGAGCAACACCCAAGGTGAACCTGACCTTATTCCATACTTTGAGTCACAACTCGTAGGGTGTACTCTTACCAATGACCGCCTTTGTGCTGCAAACCTAGTTGAATCAAACCTGTGCAGGTTTTGCCATCAGCAACCAGAATCTATGCCTCACTGGATTTTTGAGTGTGGGAATGCCTTTCCCTTGCTTCAACCTCCTCGGCATGAATTCGGCGAAAATTTTGCCATGCTAGGCATTTGCGAACATCCTGTTGGAATTTGCAAACATCGGCTCCAGTTTACCTCTATTTTGCCAGATGTTCCAGCAGCGTATGATCCACTTGCACGTCGAGAGTCATTGTGGACAGACGGGTCTGCTTTCTTTCCCGAAACCTTTTGGCTCACTACTGCTGGTTGCAGCGTCATTGATGAACGTGGACAGTGCATTTTAGCTGAGAGAGTTTGTTCTCCGTCGTTGTCTTCTTACTCAGCTGAACTCTTTGCCATTTACCGCGCTTGTTTGCATGCCTCCGTGACATTCATATTTTTTCTGACTGCAAGTCCATTGTTGACCAACTTAATCTTCTCCTACATGTTCGGAAAGTTGACCAGTCCTGGAATCATATTTCTTGGTGGAAGGCCATCCTGCAGATCGTTGAACAGCGCCCTTCTCAGGATGGCATCGCCGTGCAGATTTCATGGATTCCTGCTCATGTAGGTGACGACCTCCCGGACTACCTCATCACACCGGAATTTGCTGCCTCTCGGGGGACGACGGGTTCGCAATATTTTGTTCAACCGGAAAGCTGATCAGGCAGCGAAGCGTGTTGCTTCGGAATTTTTACCCATGTACCCACACATTTTCTCACAACAACTTCAAGCTGTTGTACAACGCCAGCATTTTTTATCTCGACTCAACGAGTTATCCACACCGGAGGTTTCAGATCCCGTCAATGTTGACGTCAGTCCATCGCCGCCTGCAGATGCTTCTATTCAACAGCGCTTTAGTCGATGGGACTGGGCTCAGTCTATTTGTGACTTCCCATGGCGATCTTCAGGTGGGGTCGACACTTCCTGCTCGTGGTTCAAGCAGCATACAAGCAGTGATGTTGATACTTTCTTCAGTTTTGCCCAGACTCTTGCTTGGAAGGTCGGGGATGCATTTTGTACTTCTTATATGAAACTTGCAGTTTTGTTTCACAAGCGTAACTTTACCTTGGAAGCTTGCAGTGGTGATGGTATTACCTACAGAGATCTCTCTTTTTGGCTGCGGAAAATGTTTGTCTTTATTGGGAAAATCCCTGGCCAGTCCGTCTTCCCGGGGTATACATGCCTACAAGCCAGGAAATCCGAAGGTCGCTCCTTTCCTCAAGGCGCGATAGTCGGTGCCGTCCCCTTCATGTGTACAGAAGAGTTACATCGGTTGGCTGTGATGATGGACGCTGGCTGTTCCAAGATTTTAACGTCCTGGGAGATCCTCTGCACTCTCCCGGTTCTTGATTGTGTGTTCGTAGTTTAGTTAGGTCCTTTTCACTCTGTACAATTTGCACTGTAGGACCAGAGTGTCCGCAGTGTTGCGCGTCTTGTCCCAACAGGGGACTTCGTCTGGGATGGACCGCAATGGGTGGTGATGGAGAGGTTTTTACAATCCAAATGGGCGGGGTATCAATCAAGAGTCTACAGGAGCTTTTTGTGCGGTGAGCGTCTCTGCTACTTCTGCTTGGGGCCGGTTTTAGGTGTTCCCCCACCGATTTCTGGGCACATCGGGTCGAAAGATTAGGCCCAAACACGACGGGATGGGACTGGCATATCCCTCAGGCGAAAGAAAAAGAAAAAAAACGATCTTCAGAAGGCAGGGACAGACCTGCTAAACCATGCAAAACCTACCCCAACCACCTTCAAAACGGAGGTGGGCCAGGATGGGCCCCAGGGCATTAGACATATTATACATTGATACATTGACGTACAATGACATGCATTGACCAACCAACCAACCAACCGACCGACCGACCGACCGACCGACCCACCGACCGACCGCAACAACAACAAGAACAACCACCACCCAATTGATCGGGAGTCAAATGCCAGTCCCATTCGTCGTGTCTGGAGTCTGGAGCCATTGATCTGGAGTCTGTCAAATGCCCATTCGTCTGGAGTCTGGATCTCTCTTTTGACGACGGATGCAGTGAATCGGACAGAAATTAAAGTATTACGATGACCAGATATGACCAGTGATTCATTCATGCTTCTTGACCCCTAGGGCTCCAACCATATCCTCAGGTTCGGTTGATAGACCCCATGGCACCCACCTCAACCATCGTCTAAACGGAGGTAGGCCAGGAGCCCTAGGGGACTGTCAACATTGAGAAGTTTGCGAACAACGAACCGTTTGACTGTTCAGCCGTGTTTCAGAACCGCCAAAACCCGGCCCACATGGTTCGTCCAAGCCTCCAGCAGTAAGCGTAGACCCCCGTTTTCTCTCAGAAAAGGCGTCCAACATTAGACTCCTATAGCGCTTATCGATCCCTATACACCATGGACCATGTACTAGACCTCCAAACAAATTCCAAGAAGACCCAAATAGGATATCATAGACTCTACTACAACCCTGAGATGCCTGTTTTTAGACTTCATCCATGGACCGAATTCTCTTCCACACTTTGGGTCGCCCAGAGTGGGCACCTGCCCATGTGCCGGATGTCGCCTCTAGCCTTCCGCTATGATCCTCTTCCCATACACACATCATGCCCACCCTGTATATAAATAAAACCAAAAGGTCCCGTCTCTCTCATCCCCTTCCTTAGACATCTTAGATTGGGCCTGTACCGCAGCATTTTGACCCTGTGGAGCAGCTTTTGATCCCCCGCACCGGCTGCAGCTGGAAATTTGGAGCAACACTTCATCCGACCCTTCCGGTACCCGTTACCACGTCCGATCTGTTCATCGAAGGCACCATCACGGCCTCCGCAGCCTCTTGCTCCGTTTTGAAGCCGATCGCGCCGGTGCCTTGGGGATCTGCTCAAGCTGGGAGTCTGCTCAATCGGTTCAGGTTCCGAGGCTGAGAGATGTGTTCAACATTTCGTGGGAGGATCTCGGAATGAACGGACTGCGCCCAGAACCGGACATGTCTCCCAATCTGCAGCTTTGGAGCGTGTTCAGATGCCCCCAGTCTGGGAGAGTTGTTGAACAAAACAACGAAGCAAGCATTTTGCGTTGTAGTGTAGTGGGAAAGTGTCAAGAAAGTGTCAAGAAAGTGGACATGTAGCCGTTGAAGGTACGCTAATTACTATATGAGATTTCTTGGTGATCAAAACAATCCCAGCACCTGCTCTTGGGAAAACTCGGGTTCCTGATTCTTGTCCTTCACCACTGTTTAGTCTGTTAGGGAGTGTGTAAGATAGTGCAAGTGGTTTATTTCGGGAACTCCAATCACGGCCAACCATAAGGGACGTATATAACTTCACCTCAAGTCTTTCATTCTGAGCGAGCTGAAAATTGGGAAACGGGAAACGGGGTTCCCCTGTCCGGTGGTTGTTTCTCACTTTGGCGCATGGAAGCGTGTCGGATTGAATGGCTTACTTCATCACTATACCCCTGAGGGACAGGTAACTATAGAAAACCCATAGAAAACCCCTGGAAGCTGAAGAAGACTCCAGGGTGGGAGGCTTCTAATCCGTTCGGCGGTCTCAATTCTTGGTCTCGAAGCGAATACGCCGCAGGTGTCAGGTGGTGTCTGGGGGTCTTTTTGCTGAAGACCATGTGTGCAGCGAGGGCTGTTTTTGGGAGACATGTTTTTGATAGAGTGCTCAATAAGTAATGCTTCTTCAGTTCGTCATAGTTTGTCCAAAGAGCGCAACACAGTTCTTGGGTTCTTCATCTGTTGATTCACAGTTCATTCCAAAGCATGGGAGTTGGAGGGCCTGGAGGGCCTGGAGGGCCGGATGTTTAGTATATTATAGACAGTGTGATGCTGCAAATGAAATCAAATGAATGGCTCCAAGTGATTGGTTCAGAGAAAAAGAAAGAGCCAATGGATGCCAATGGTTTCTTAGAAGAACGCATCCCTCTTTTGTCATAGACTCTATATAGTACTTATAGCAATGACTGCTTTCACCGTGACGATAGACATTGAGGGCCCAACGTCTCGAGTTGTGCACTTCTGCGTCTTCCTGCTTTCCACACCCCATCAAATGTCAAATGGCACTCTGCAATCTAATTACTACAATCTACTATACCCTGATCAGATCTATATAATCAGTCTCAATAACTCTTAACTGAACACCTCCAATCCACCCAATGCACTCGTTACCCCACTTCGCTACCACCACGGTCACCACGTCCTGGCCCACTTGGCCCATCCAACACCGCCCGTTCTTCGGTTCCACCCTTTGGGCAAATCCAAGAATTCGATCCGAAGATTCAGTCCATTCAATGGGGGTCACCAACCTGGGCAACAAAAAGAACACTTTGTCTCTTTTGATCTCCTTTTACATGGTCTCAACTTGGGTTATAGAATGAGGATCCTAGCCTTCAGTTTTGCCAAGGAAGCACACTGACACTGAACAGTTTGGTCTTGGATGCATTCAGGTGTGGTCGTCCCCTGCCAGAACCGTCCGCCATGTCCGCCGGAACCGTCCAGCCTCTCCTCCGTTCCAAACGCCCACGGTCCAGCGAAAAAAACCAAGCCAATCGACCCCTCTCGTTCCACCCCTCTCACTTCTGCAACCGAGACACCGGCACCTTTTCCCGAATAGACCTCCGCCCAAAGGGGCACCACGCCGGACAGCTCCACGTGGCTCTTCAGCTCCTTTTCGCGGAGCGCGGCGCTGCCATGGTGAAGGCCACGTGTGTGCGGAGCGCGGCTATGGTGGTGGGTGAGGAGGTTAGCGGGTCAGCAACATCGCTCATAGAGTCATAGAGGAGCAAATCCCAGGTGACAGGGCACTTTTGAGGATGAGCGGAACATGAGTGGAGTGGCGATGAAGAACCCAATGTTCTCCAACTCCACGGCAGATGCCTTGCGTGACGCCTTGCGTGATGCCTTGCGTCGGATATATGATCCACTGGGTGTTCATATATCCCATATATCCCTTGAGATGTCCCAAGAGACTAAGAGGATGTAATGGCTCTTGGTATAAAACATCTACTTGAAGCCATTCCGTCTTATATAGTGGAGAACAGAAGAGAATGATTTGCTTTTTCAGAGGGAGACTGAGGTTGCTGAGGGATGATCAACTGGCCTTCATTAGAGAAACCCTGCCAGGCTACATCAATCTAATCCTTCATCTTGCTTCCAAAATCTGAGTTGCCCATTTCAGGCTGCCGCTTGCAGAGGATACTTCCTCTTTTCTGGGGGCTCTGGACAGAGGAGTCCATCATACGACTAGGCCAGACAAACTCTGGTGCGCAGCCAGACTAGGCCAGAAAGAACTGCAAGAAACTCTGCTGCACACGCTCCACGACTCAGTCCAGGTGAGAAAACATCGACAACCAACGCGCCACGCGGAGTCCAGCACCCGCTGGACTCGCACTGGACCGTCCACTCATCCACTCATTCACCCTCTAAGTCATCAGTGCTGCAGATGACTCCTGCAGGACTGTAGCAGTAATTACTCTTGATAAATTACTCTTGATAAAATAAACCCTCCATATGAAGAGAACTTCCAATTCAAAAAGGGGGTTCATTAATCAAGAAATTACTTCTTGAAACCTGAGGTCATAGGTCCTAACCGCAACTGGCAGTCCTGACCTGACCCACCTTCCGAGGGCGTCGACTCATGGGTAAAACCGTCCTCCTCATCCGAAGCCTCACCCTGCACATCCCAGCTGCGCCCTACCAATCGGCCTGGAACTTGGTGTCTGGAGGGATGTTGCCGACCCAAATGGTTCGACTGGGATCAATCTTCTTCCGCTGATCCTTGCCCTTCCCTGGGCGACGCGACGCGCTCCGTGCTCCGCGAGCTCGCTCCAACGCGGTGGACATGAGTCGACGTGTGTGGCCATCCGCGCGCATTTTGCTTCGAAAATGTGGAGGAACAGAGCTTCAGGTCACTGAGATGCCATATATGCTGACGGTGGAAATCTGTAATTACTATATATGCTCCGTATGACCTCCGCGCCCACAGGCTTATCTGACATGGAAATCTGACATTTTAACATATATATGTTGTTTCTCCATGTTTCTCCCCAACGAACAGGATTCTTTTTGTGGAGGGTGCAGTTTACGAACAGTCACCACACACTTGAAACATCTTGAAACAATCATCGTCAATAGTTGCAGTAGTCAGACCAATACACCTGAATTGGAATTGGAGCTTGGACCGCTTTAGCAGATGGCTGAATGCATCGACTCGCTCCGGCTCTTCTCTGAGACCAGCCCTTTGTCCGCGAAAGACCATTCTCCCCAGGGGGGAGCGGATTATGAGTGAGACGCGAAGTGGATGAAGTAAATGTGTTGGTAAAGACATGTCTCAAAATGTCTTTAAATTTAATAGTTTCCAGTCGTGAAGCGTAATGACATGTTTCTGATGCTGTGCAAATATCTGTTATTAGGCACCGATTTCTCCAACATCCGAAAACCTTCCTTGCCTTTCCCACTGTTCCACTTCAAGAACCTCAGCAGGCCAAAGGCAAGTGCTGCAAGCTCTGCTCTAGGTGGCTTTTGTTTAAGTTCTTGGCAAATGTCCAAATGATTCATTCAATAGTGAAGCCTAGTTCTTTGTTGTGCAAAAGGGTATTATTAGCACCGCAAGCATCACCAACTGATGCGGCAAAGCGGAGGAACTGATGGATGCGTCCACGTGCCAGATGGAAATGGATGGAAAGGTTGGTTCTTGAGCTTGTCATGACACACCCAGGTGTTTCTGCAAGCACTCCATGTATGGAATTGATGCCTACATTGACACCCTACGTAGGCAAATATGGCAGTCCTAAGGAATGAGCCCATTGACCAGGGGCACGGCGGACCCATGAGAAAACCATGGACTACAAGGGAGGTTCACTGATTCAATGGTAGACCGGGGTGTGTGCTTCACACAGCCACATGATCAATTCTCATTCACTTGGTCGACTATGGTCCATGGTTCATTATTGTTTCTTGTACATCAATCTTTTCCTTGTGCATAGCCTGGTTACTGAAGGAGAATAGTTTGAGGTGCTTGGTTTTACCCCACAGCCATACTGCCAATCACTGGACGGATGTAGAGAATATACAATATATCAGCCCAGCCCTGCCCAAAACCACCAAGGAGCTGATTCCACACTCCTCCAGGGCCGCTGTAGGCTCCTGGACTCCAGCCTTTTCCTCCACCCCAGCCTTTTCCTCCATCCCATCCACCGCCAGATGGGCTCCAGCCTTTTCCTGAGAGGGGCTGGAGGGGAAGTGAGTAGTTGTTGGTCTTCCATGTTTCAAAGCAACTTGTTGGCCAAGGGTCTTCAGCGGCCAAACTGAAGGGTCAAACACCGGATCCACAAAAACAGGACTGTCCTCCCGTAGCAATCGCAAAATTCCTGATTCACCTGCGGGGGTCATCTGGGTTTCACCAGTTCGATATCACCCATCCTTTCTCGATTCTGCCCAGGTTCACTGATCTGGGCCCCCACAAAAAACCTCATGTCTTTTCACTTTGCGGTCAAAACAGCTGAGACCTGAACCAACTCAATGATACCAACGAAGTGATTGTAAGGAGACCTGCTACCCCCAAGAATGTAGCTAGGCCCATTTAGACCCCCAAAACCCACCCGAACCACCTTCTAAAGAGGTAGGTCGTATATGCAGTTTGAGCCCTAGGATGCATTGAAAGGCTTCTGCAGTCGTCACTTTCACTGCTTCCTGGTGTCCAACACCAGGAAAACCCCACCCACGGGATCGCGATGGGACAGTGGCCTGCTCCCCTACATATTGAAAGCCTCCATCGACTCCACAAACCGTTAGTCCACCTTCCCACAACGATCATTACCCAGTGCAGTAGATTTGGACATCACACTGGAGCTCTCGGTATGGATTCCCTCGGAAAGTGTGAGTCCAGTTGGATAGACTTCGACCGCCCACTTTGGCCAATGCTCCCCACTTCGACGTGACGAAGTTGGTGACTTCGAGAAGTTGGTGACCTTCATCCTCTTTACAATCATATTGCCAGCTCGGGCTGATTCTCTCCACCAGTTCTTTTTGAGTGAAGTCCAGTTCCCTTCACCTCACCTCATCCCCGCCCAGCTTGCCGTGAACGCGAACCGAACCTCCCTGGCACGCACGCACCCTTCGCCAAACCTCCCGGGACCTACCGGGTCCGACACGTCGAAGCCGGGCAGCCGTCCTTTCCACCCCAAGAGCCCTTGCCGTCCTTTCCACCTCCTGGCGAGCATCAGCATGCTCTGATGCTCTCGTTGATCAAACCGCTAGCCGTGGAACAGGTCATATACCAGGACCATCCAAGAGGTGCCTATAAATAGCCTCTTAAGAGGTAAAGGGGGTGTCCAAAAACCACCTGTTGGAAGGTGCTGGTATATATAATGTACATATTTTTGACTTTGATGAACGGAGATATGTACCTCGTATAAACATAAAGCACCTGAGTCATCAGGTTTGCAATCCGATCTTCTAGTGGAGTTCCACGTGGCCGCCCCACTCAACCAAACACGCTTGACACAGTTTGGGGAAATGGGGAACCCCTGGGGAACAAGCCCATGGAGGCCCCTTATGAGCCTGGGAGTGTTCCCATCTGGTTTTGTTGAATTGCCCAAGGTGTTCATATGTGGGGCCACCAAAGACCAAGAGCCGAGAGTTCTATACCAAAAGTAGCATACAGTATAGTAGTAGGAGTAGTAGTTGTTGTAGTTGTTGTTGTTGTAGCAGTAGCAGTAGCAGTAGCGCTAGCAGGAGCAATAGGAGGGGGAGTAGGAGCAGTGGTGGTCGTGGTGATGGTGGCGGTGGTTGCTGCTGCTGCCGCCGCTGCTGCTGCTGTTGTGGTTGTTGTTCCTAAAGGCATCTGCGCGGGTCGTCTACATATTCCTCTGGAAGGACTCGGTGAGCAAAAGTCAAAGCAATAACAGGGTCCCATCAACGCTTGGTCTTGCAGCGACCATTCAACTTTGAGACATTCCCCCCTGAAATCCCTGGCCTCCAAAACCTCCAACCCATGCAGCCAACCGAAGGAAGAGCACAGAAAGATGGGTCCCATCCACAAGAACATGCGAAAGCTGGTTTAGGCCCACGACGTTCATCCCCGTGGGCCATCCGTCGTCCCATCCTGCCTTTACCATCATCGCCATCACAGTATTTGCAGCTCCCGTACTTCTGCACTCGTGGGCAGAAGCCCTTCCTGCAAAAAAAGCAGCTTCTCAGCTCGGTTGAACTCACGTGGGCGGATTTGTGCATGCCCAACCCAGCGAGGTGCAGACTTTGCCTCACTTGTGTTTGAGAATTCTTCTAACAACGTTCATCAAAAGAAGAACGTTCGTAAAACATAGTACATTATCAAATTAAACTACATCTTTCAAGTAAGCCATGGACTAGACTCCCTGAAACAAACACAGAACCTGTCAGAAAGGGTTTGAAAAGTATCTTGCTCTACCAGCCTGGTAGAGGTTGGGGCGATTGTCCTTCCCGAAACGCTCTAAGGGACTGGCATATATACCGCCCAGGTTCATCTTGATTCTGACGTTTTGAAAACTGCAGCTCTGAAGAAGCGTTGGATGTTGTTTGATGTCTATAGAATGCCATATACCACCCTGAACAAAGACCCTAGAAGAGTGGTAGTGATGCCAATTGGACCGTTGGCCCAAACCATTCCTTTGATTGTGCTTGCAGTGCTTACCTAGGGATCCAGTCGTACCTTCTCAGGTTCAGTACGACTGGACCCTCCAAATCTACATAACAGTCTCCCATCACCGTACCTCAATGTGTGAATTCCTAGGCTTCAGAAATGGTGCTTGCCCACAAGTCCAACACAAGATGTCCAAAAAAGTAAACTTCAGTTGGTTTGTTCTAATCACAGGTTTACCCCTGTTCTACTTATGTTCTTCCCTTGCACTCATCAGCCACGTCAGCCATGAGTCCAAGGTGAGGCCGCAAACAAGCACACAATCCAATCCATGAGAATCCCCAAAAAAAAAACAACAAACAGCTTCATAACCACATGGTTGTCCATGGGTCTCCACCTTTCCTGGGTAGGAGACCACCTCCCCGACCTTCACTGCTGTCGCTGTCGCTGTCGACCGAACTGCCGAGCCCAACGAAGCCGGAAACGACCCGAGGACGAAGCAAACCGTGCAGAGCAAACGGGATCTCCGTGGTACATGGCACGGTTTATAGAGGTTTTCTCCGTGGTCTCCAAATAGATAGAAAGGGTTTGCCAATACACTTCAAAAGAGGGACTGTACATTTTCTATCTATTTGGGGGTCTCTCTCTCTATAAATATTAGATCTGTATCACTGTATCGCTCAACTTGCCAAAAGCATCCGGGTCGGACTCTGTTGAGCAGCACACAACTCGACAGAGCAAGTTTTGTCCCCCATGCAAACACCGCATATGCTGATGCCACAGTATGATTGATATTCAAAGTCTTGTACTGTAATTAGTGCCCAGCGACTGTTGCATGTCCCAGCATTCCGACATGGCAAAGGCTCTGTGCAGGGGGGATTCAAAACTGAACAGCTGCAGAGAGCCGGCGAGTCTTCAAAAGTTTGCCCTCGTCTTCCAAGACTGGCAAAGGAAAGGTGCACCTGCTTCCAAGTCTTTAGTAAAACAAGGGTTGTTCGGTACAAACATGTAAAAAACTGTTAAATCTAATGATTCTAATGGTGGTTGGAAGCCGTGACTGTCTGTCCACAAAACCTGATCGACTTCCAACATACCTGGGTCGTAGCAACAAAAAGTTGTTCAATGATCATCGTTCTAAGTTCAAATTTTGGGCCCAAAATATCCTATCATACACTTCGTTAATACAACCAGAACGGTTGTGGTAAACAACGAAAACATTGGTGAGCGTCGGGTTCCAAGTCTCACACGCTCCCCCGGTTGGCTTTGTTAGCAGCTGCGGGGTTGGCATTGGAGCCGACTGGTCTGGATATGTCGCTGCCAGGTCGGTTCTTGGAGCAACCACAACCGGTGAAGCGATCTGCCAGGGGAAGATCCACTCCCAACAGGTGTCCAGTAGGATTCATGGAACTGGGCGACCGAGTCCTGGGTCGTAGGGTGAGGACCGGATCTGCGACCCGAGGAATGCTCCGTTCGACCCGAGGATGCGGGGCGAAGCGACCGAAACAGGACCGAAACAGGACGAAGAGGTGAAATTCTGACGAAGATGTGTTTTTCGAATTGAACTCAACAGCTTTTGGATGCTTTTGGACCTTAACTTTGAAAGGAAGTCCAATCCAATCCTACTCCAAGCAGTCATGCCATCTGTACCAGCTTACCAATCCTTGTTCTTGTTCACCGGAAGCAAGCCGTGCTTCTGGTGCTTTCCTCTCGCTCTAGCGGTCCTACACCGCGTCCTTCCTACATGTCTCTCTGTGTCAGGAACTGACGTGGCTTCTTACATCCCTCCTGCATACCTGGCCACAGCTGCTCCCTATAGCCCCAAAACGCAATGGCTGTGGAATGCGATACGACCGGCCGGCTTTGGTTCAGGAAGTCCTCTTGTTTCCCTTGGCAAGAGTTGAGGGCACACCAGTGTTGAGTCACCCATCGCGATTGGAGCCATCTACAGAGCTATGTCTTTAGCAGTAATCATGTCTGACAACGCTAAAGCATTCTTACCACCCAGACACCCTCCGAAGAACACCAAAAGCACCCTTGTGGGCGCAACCAGGCAAATGGCCCGCCCATTCTATTGGTCTTGGAGAGGAATTTAGATCACCTTATAAAGGACTTAATTAGGTCGCTCCTATGGCGGAGTCATCCAAGCAAGAAGTCTGGAATCTACTCACCATCCCTTCTGGTGCGTACCTGACTCCCTCAGTGTCTGAAGGCTGACCGACCTTCTTTCATCTTCTTTCCACCTGTTGGTTTCTGGTGGGGAAACCGATCGGCTGTATGTATGGGTGAATTCGTTATATCAAAGGGGTTCTCCACGTACTTCCTGGCTGTAACATCCTACACCTTCGGTTCCGTCACGTTTTTCGAGAAGATCACACCCGCCTGTAGACCGGACCGGCATCGGTCTGCAGCGGAGGCCCAGGATTCACCTGGTGAATCATGGGGCCACCCGGAGCGAGTGCCCGGGGCAAGCCACGTGGTTCACGAAGCTCGAATCCGGATGTCAGGTTCTAAACAAATGTCTGTGTCCTCCACTTTACAATCAGTATTGATGTTTTGGACACTCAAAAGGAATCTCAGCGCAACTATTATGCAGTACATATACAGGACTCTGATAAAACTTGTGTTTGTCATTGTTCTTTTGGGTGTGGTTGTCCATGTATTTCCATGATCAAACTATGTCTTCACTGCTGCAAGCATCTTCGTTGCTGTGCCTCTTCCACTTTCACAGCACCACCCCCCAGGTAGCGCTAGAGCGCGCACCGTGAGCCAAACCGCTGGAACGCCCGTGTAGTTGGTGGCGTTGAAACCGCCTAAGGCACCACACCTGGGATGAGGTGGGAGGCGTTGGATCCACACAGGGGGGAGGATGTTCGATGGGGCGAACTGGCTCAGGGAGGGCTGGACTTCCAAAAGTGGACTCCGTCTTGGTCTTGGTGAAGCAATCAGACATCCCACAACATCGCTGCTGGGTTTTGAGCGACCAAGAATCTTAAGTCCCTACGACCGTGTCACTAAGCCAGACCAACCCTTGTATGGCGTACTACTGTTACGGGAGGTTTCAACAATTCAATGTAAGATTATAGTCCACACAAAGTGCGTGCATGTCAAAGTGCTTTCACCAAGCCACCCAGCCTGCGCTCCAAAACCCTCAGGGACTTTGCATGACTTTACCCGCGCGCAGGTTGGGTCGGACCACTGCTTCGGGTGCAGTGCATGTTCGCATCTTGGCAACGATTATCCTGAAAATCAGGGAGTTGGGCAGTTGGGCCTCCATCATGGACTTGGTACATGTTGCTGTGGGTCCAACTGTTCAACTCCTATCTCTTCATGTTCCAAGGACGTTGGTCCTCCATGACTTTGGAACTTCGATCCCAAGAGCCTTCAATCGAACGAGGAAACGACACAAACCCCATGCAGATCGATCCGCACCACAGTCTCCTCTCCCTCCTCTCCTCTCCCGATCCAGCGATCCACACGTTTCGCTCACGTCTCCGGAACGGATGTTGACCAAGCGCGGCACCAACAGGCGACCAGCGAGGAGGGCGCCGAGAGGGGAATCTTCACTCCGCACCACCTGGAGCACTTGAGCAGTTGAGCTCCAATCCAAGAGAAACCCAGGTGGGGCGCCCGATTGGGCGGTTGAAAAAGCAGACGCCAATCTCCAATGGACTCTATTTGTTCCATCTATATAGTCATTCAAGAAGAGATATGGTACCGATATCTGCGTAATACAAACATGAAGAAAATGAAGAACAAGACTTTATATAAGACTGTTCGATGTTACTCTTTGTTTCCGGTCTATGTCAATGTAACCGCGTGTGTAGAGCTGCGCAGCTCTACACACGCAGAAGACTCACGTGGAGCGGAACGTGAAGCGCTTACAACCGCCCTAAAGAATCCGGGCCCTCCAATGAAATGGGTGCTGAGGGTGCCATTAGAAGACTGCTATGGAGGCGCACCTGCCATGGAGGGCCCTAAGGATTCAAACAAATAATGGCAGCTTTCGCACCGGTGGGGCCCTGATCGACCGGATTGAAGCTTTCAGCCAGATTCCGAGGTGCAGACGTCTTGGCGGCATGAATGGGAATGATCTGAAAGACTACAATAGATACCAAGACGATGCAATGGGTGTCCAATGGACTACCTCACACTATACTTATCAGGATCCATGGGACACCCATTGAACATTCCCTTCGATTCGGTATTTCCAGCTGAATCCCACGTTGTTCGATTGGCGGAGGATCTGGTTCAGTTTGAGAGAGGGTTAAAGCAATTGGCTGGGTTCTTCCCTTTGGGACGTGCAAATGAGCATAGCGAAATCAGCCGATGGTCCACCTAAATACGGTTGATGGAAAAGGTGTTTCCACACAAAGAGGCGATGGCGGCATGAGCCAAAGCTCAGTTTAAAGCAAAAACCCATGAAAGTGTTTGAATGACCCAGGATGCTGCAGGAGAACGTGTTTATATAAACAACAGAAGTCCATCCGGAAGTCGCAGGGCAACAGCGTTTTGTGAGGACACCTCGGAAAACATCACATGTGTGCTTTTAGGTGAACTGGTGGTCCCTTTTCCCCGGTCTATTCCACCAATTTCTAACAAGTCCGGTTGTCTAACTACAAAAAAAAAGATCCCAAACTCAATAGACCCTGGAAAATTAACATGGAACCTAAAACCACTGGGTTGTAGAGGAAAATAGTCTTCCAAAGGTCCATGTCCCGGGTGCAATGGTTCTGCTGGGATCTTTCATGTCGGTTTCCAGTTCTGAAGGTGCAGCTCTGAAGGTCCAGGCCAACCAAAACACAGGGCCCCACTCTGGACTTGGCTCATGGAAGGAAACCGGGCACCAACCAAAAGACCACCTCTTCCGCTTGGGATTCCCACTTCGGGGCCGCGTTTCCCCCGCGCCCACCACCCCGCCGCCTCATTCCCCCGGCCGGCACCGCCTCGCCTCACTGAGGTGGCCGAGATCTCACACGGCGTGGCGTCCAAAGGCAAGGCGTCCTCCAAGTCCTCGGGCGGAGGACCGGGAACGAAGACCGGAACGGAGGACCGCCCCGAACAGTCCCAGGCGTTGAAGTAGGTGGGTCCAAAGTATGGTCGAAAGCGGAGCTGGAGAGGGGTGGAATGGAAGAAATTGATCTGACTTGACAGGATCTGATCAGAACATGTGGCGCCTCGTCACTGATTTGGACACCATGAGCCCTTCCTCCATGGGAAAAAGGGCAGCTCATTGTAATGCCCATATCACCCCTCTGAGCCAAATAATTCACATACAGTGGTTTCAGAGCTTCGATGGCACAGACCCCATGATGGCTGGGGGTCCACTACTAAAACCATACTAAACCACCAAACTTGGGAGATAAACCAATGGTCCACCTTGCGAGTCTCCACTTCTCATGATTGGTACTGACAGGACGAACCTTGCAGGGCAGGTCTTCCAGTCTTCCAGTCTTACAGTCCGCTGAAGCAATGGTTTATCAATGTTTATCATGAATGAAATCACGAACAACCATTGAACTTCCGGAAGCTTTCATCACCAATCCAGAAAATCGTCACATGAATCTATCACAAAATCCCGTGGATGTCCATGATCATCAGATGGTCTCCAATCACTAAACCAAAACCAGTGAATGTGATGTCCCTTACACCAAAACAACACGGATGCCCAAGGGTTTCATCCACCTACACCATCAGAACCCCCCCAAACCCTGCAACGTCTGTGCGGTTTGTATGTGTGTGTCCATTCAGTGATGAGGCACCGCTCGGCGCTGTGGGCTGTTGCAGGGCCTCAGGGCTGAACTCAACAAAGAACACACCCATCCTTCATCCAGTGGCTGGTGCGAGGAACTTGAAATTCACAGAAAATTCAGGTGAGTCTGGATCCAAAGCGACAGAAAAACAAAATATATTGAATGCATATTGAATACATTGGATACTATATATATATATATAACTATAACAATTAATACAATGTATGATTGATTAATACCGTCTTCAATCCAGTCGTTGGACTCGGATGGACTACTCCTCTGTCGTGCCGGGCCGGGGGGTCCACAGTTGAAGCAACTACTCCTCTCATCAGAAGGGTCAAGTGGGGCTAGGTTTGGCATTCGGAAAAGCCATGATTAGGTTGGGATTCACACCATTGGACCATGACCAATCAGATCCAACCAGCTTGGCCCAAAAGGGTTCTTTTGGGGGATTCATCATGCATCATCCAACAACTCTCTTCTTGGAGACCCCCCAAACAAGTGCGCCGCCCCAAGAACATCCCAAAAGTCAAGCAAAAACCGCCCAGTTTCAAACTCGGGACGGGGTGTTGGCATCTCCTCGTTCATCCGCGGAAGTGAAGATGTGGATTCTTGACCCCAGACTGTGACTGCCACTCTGCCAATGTGAGCGCCTGGTGACCCAAAGAGCCATAAGTGTTCAAACACCCCGCCAGCTAAACAGGCAGCGCAACTGAAAACAACAACAACAACAACAACAACAACAACAACAACAACAACAACAACA